TCTTTTTTTATTGTATTCACTCTGATTTCCCTTGTAATAGTTACATTATGCATAACATTATATTATAAATACATTGGATATGGACCTGGATTTAAGTTCAGCTGGGGCCACTTATACATACTGTACAACTTTGGGCAATTTACTTAACCTCTTTGAGCTTGTTTTCTCATTTGTAAAAGTTATGTGGTATTTTTTTTTTTTTGGCCAATTTCTCTCTCATTTTTTTTTCTTGATTTCTGGGGCTTCATGCTAAATAAATGAGATCCTGTAAAAGAGGCTTTGTGAACTTTAAAAGCTATACAAATGTAAAAACTTATTGTATTTCTTACTGATCATCTTCCTTCATTACCAATCCTATCCAGTACATGCTTTACAAACTTCACCCATGGCTCATAGACCTTTTTTTCTAAATTACCTTGGATTTTGTTTTGCCCATGACCAATCATTTGTAGGTGGTGAATGAAAATATTCTCACATTACAGATGAGAAAGATACAATATACATCAGAAAAATAAGATAAAATAAGGATATGTTTCAGCAAGTAATTTGTTTAAGTTTTAATCACACATATAATTGCAATATGGTTCAAATTCAAGTAAAAATTTCCTAAAAACCTGATGGCACTTCATCCAAAAGATAACATTAGACCTTTACAGTTTTAAGGTAGCTCATCTGTTAATGACAAATATACAATTACTTTGGATTTCAAATGAGTATAATTTTTTATCAAATAACAAATATTAAATTTAAATACTTCCTTAAAATATTTTTAGTAATTATACAGTATATTACTGACTCTTTTCAAATGAACTCTGAACTCTTCTAAACTATGAGCAATTACCTTTTCTAATTCTTGATCTTGCCGGTTCATTAGTGTTTTCCAGTGTTCATAAAGCTCAACATCTTTGGTCTGAATGTCCTTCAAAGTCCCTTCTCTTAGTACACTTCCATCTTTCATGGCAATGATCTAAGGAAAGCACGTATTAGCAGTTTCGTGACAAAAAGCCTGAAGTGACCAAATGAATTACCTTGATCTCAGGAAGCACTTTTTAATGTACCTATTTATCAAAAGGACTACAATACAAAAATTAATGAAACTTCTTTGAACTCTCACCCAGTCAGCATGTGTTAGATACTGTAATTTGTGGGTCACGAGGACGAGTGTCCTCTTGTCATCTTGGAGAAATTTCAAGATCCCTTCCTGCATTAAGTGATCACTCAAGTGAATGTCCAGGGCAGAGAATGGATCATCCTACAAGCAGTAAAAAGAGAAAAGAAAACATTTTTCTATATCCTTTATGTGCTTTATTTTCTCTAGAAAGTAGAAATACAAATAAGAAAGGACAAATTATCCCTCATATCTAATTTATAAAAACAGGCTTCATATATCAAAGCTTTAAATTGCCAGAACTATTAAATAAAATGAAGCAATTAAGAAGTGCAAATTGGTAGATACAAAATATTCATGGTAATGTAAAGTACAGCATAAGGAATATACTCAACAATACTGTAATAACTATGTATGGTGTCAGGTGGTCATTAGAATCATTGGGAGATCACACTGTGAATTATATAAATGTCTAAGCACTATGCTATATACCTGAAACTAATATAATATTCAGCATTGACTGTATTTTTTTTTAAAAAAGAATAAATGAGCTGCTGGTGTAATGTAAAAGAAAATGAGGCTTTTTGGGGTTTTTTGCTTAAAATTTTTTAAAAGTAAATAACAATATTAAAAGTGGCTTGAATTTTATATATAAAATCTTCAAGTTCAAAACCCAACACTTTTGAAAACCTTTAGCAACAAACTAAACAAAGAATATAATTGGAGTAAATTTTAGATTATAAAAATAGGCATAGGCACTGGAACTACATGGTGGCATAGGAAGCTCCTGAACTTCCCGCCTCCCACAGATGCACCAAACATACAGCTACACACAGAGCAATCCAGGAACTAGTTGGGTGACTTCTATACATTAGGCAACTGAGAAAATATACAGTTTTCATTAATGCATTCTTTCATATATTCAGTGAATATGTTCAAGTATTATACTCTTTGTATGTATATATTTTTGCAAATAACTCCTTATAAATATACTCAATGATACAGCATATTTACAGATACCATAAAGCTTCAAAAATAACTAGCATGCTTGATAGATCATTAGAATGCTTTCATTTGGCTTTGATATAGTGTAAAAGCTAATGTGATAAAGTTTAATGTTAGCAAAATATAAAACCATTCCAGTAATTATTTGTACAAGTAAGATCCTTGAAGATAAGAGTAATGTCTTTTTGTTCTTTGTTTCCTCTCTCCAGAACAGAAAATGGCACCGAGGAGGTTAACTAAATATCGATGGGTGGAAAGAAGGGAGGAAGGGAGGGAGGTATAGAAGGAGAGAGGGAAGAAGGAAAGGGAAATAAAGGGGAAAGGGAAGAAGGAGAAAAGGCCAAAAGAAGGCAGGATAAAAAGGGCAACACAGGTTGTAATTTGACAGTAATAATTTTTTGAAGATGAAGGAAGGCAGCCATAAGCCAAGGAATGTGGGTAGTCTCTAGAAGCTGGAAAGGGAAAGGGAATTAATTCTCCCCTAGAGCCTCCAGAAGGGAACACAGCCCTGCTGATACTTTGATTTTAGCCTAGTGAAATTCATGTTGGACTTCTAACCTACAGAATTGTAAGATAATAAATCTGTAATTGTTAAGACACTGATTATGGCAATTTGTTATACCAGCAGAAGAAAACTTACACACTGACTAAGAAAGAAAAGGCTGCCTTAAATATAGCAATCTGTCTTCAGAAGGAGTCATCAAAAAGCTGTTACAAATGATGCAAAAAATCCAAGCCTGTAATGAATGATTAGGAATCCACAATAAGTTAACCCTGTGACTTGAGTCCCATGGTTCTACAATTGAGGTAAGGATCAATAAATTGAAGGCAGTGAAATGAACCGCGATAGAACACTATACCCAGAGAACCTTGGTCCCTTCTGGATCTCCAAGTCACTTGATCCTCAGGTGGTTCAGTCATTAACTGACCCCAAAGTTCAAGAAATCACTTCTTGTTGTGGGTCCATCCATTATGAAAAAGAGTTACAATTACATAGGTTACTGCTAGAACTTGCTATGGTATGTAGGGTGTTTTTTTCCTGGAAAAATTTACCCAAATTCTACTCCCATCCCCAGTAATGGATCTAAAGTTACTGGGAAATTCCAAAACCACCCTACTTTTTGAAGTGCTTTTTTAGTATTAAGTGAAGAGAAAACTCTAAACGAGGTCTAGAAAGCAGATTTATAAATAATTAATAACTGAACAGAAGAAAAAGACAGGGAAGGATGAATTTACATAGCTTTCTGGTCTCTGATATACATTATCTATTTGTAAGCTAAGTACTAGAACAAATTCATAATCAACATAATCATATAATTTTACTTGTGGATCCACAAGTAGAACCAAGTTAATAACCTGATACACATGATAAACATCCATGGAGCTTTTTCAAAACACAGACCCTAGAATCTGTCTTTACAGATTATGATTCAATAGGTCTAGGTGAGTAACAAGATTCTATAGTTTTAGAAAATTTATCCACAGCCTAAGTTGCACACCATGGGAATGGAGTACTATGCTTACTTACCCCTATGTCCACCAAGAATGTGTTTTCCAGACCTTCTTTCTTTGCCAGCAAATAAAAATGAGAAGACCTATGATCTCGTCCAGTTGATCCACCACCATTCACACTCCCTCATTAATGATCCTCACAGCGTAGAAACTCATACAAGCAATCATATGGGAACCTCAGTCTCTTGCACATCAATCTGGCTCCCCCAACTCTCAACCTTACATGCTGATCTGATTAGTACTGTAAGGATCTGTTTCTCCTACATTTTCTATGATTTCACAACTGAAACCATCTTTCCTTAAGTTATTTGACTTGTTCTTTGAAGACTCGTCTTTTCAGAGGGAGAAAATGAAGTAGAAGTAAAAGTAAAGGCCATATTCTCACCAAGAAGACAATGTTGGTATTTTGATAGAGAGCTCGCGCCACACAGATTCTTTGCCTCTGCCCACCACTCAGGTTGATGCCCTAGAGAAGAAATATCCATAAATGTCCACCTTTTCCATTAGTAAATGATCTGCTGGGAAAATGTTCCCTTTCAAATACAAATTTCTCTAAAAAAATAAAAATCTTAAACTAATAATTTACCAATTAAACTGTAATAACACTGATAAGAAGGACTGAAAACTGTCTAGTGTTCAATACCTGAATTATATATGAAGGTAATTTTTGACTGATAACAGTAACCCCCCTTTCACTCTGAGAGAGAGCTCTGTTGTACAAAAGCATTAATGACCAAAACACTGGTGAGTGCTGAAGACTGTCAACAATTCCAATTTTTTTCTAGTTTTGTGACTGTAGTGTACCTAACATATATCTCTTAAATTTGGTATTGCAAGTTTTGTTCAACAGAACTATGCAGCAAAACATTTTTATGATTAAGTGTTAATTATAATATTTTTAAAAACTATTACAGTAAATCCTAACAATATCATCCACAAGTTCTTGAAACCACAGCAAAACAACATATAACAAAGCCAATTTTATCAAGGCTAATTGATACGAACAAGAGTTAAGTTCCTACGGCATCTCAATGTTATAAAAAAAATGACATTGAACGAAATGATGTTGAACAAAACAATGCTATTCAAGGACTTGCTATATTTATTGAGCCCTTGTGTGAATGGCTTTACATTCCTCATTTCTTTTATTCCTCATAGTAATTCCAATATGTAGTATTGTTCTCATTTTACAAACACGAAAACTAAGGCTTTGAGAAGTTAAGTTCATGCTCTTAAATACCATATACTATGGTGCAATAAATAATAATTAGGAATGAAGACTACAACTCTTTTCCTTGTTACCACAGAGTTACATGGAGGCGGAAGCTTGGGTACATTCAATGTTTAACTCCACCCATAACCCAACACCTTAGCCAAAGAAGGCATTGCTGCTAGAGCTGAAATGGACATCAATACTGCTTTGGAAGAAGTGCTGAAGACTGCCCTTATCCACAATGGCCTAGCATGTGGAATTAGCAAAGCTGCCAAAGCCATAGACAAGTGCCAAGCCCATCTACGTGTGCTTGCATCCAACTGTGATGAGCCTGTGTATGTCAGGTTGGTGGAGGCCCTTCGTGCTGAACACTGTATCAACCTAATTAAGGTTGATGACAACAAGAAACTGGGGGAATGGGTAGGCTTCTGTAAAACCAACAGAGAGAGAAAACCCTATAAAGTGGTTGGATACAGCTGTGTGGCAGTTAAGGACTGGGGCAAAGAGTCTCAGGCCAAGGATGTCATTGAGGAGTATTTCAAATGCAAGAAATGAACAAATAAACTTGGCTTTTGTTTCTTAAAAAAAAATAACACAGACTACAAAGTCAGACTAATTCCAGATGCGCCACTGACTCTATGATTGGGCTAGTTCTTTAATTTCTCTCAGCTTTTGCTTTCTCAGCTTCAATATGTAGGTAGCCCATAAAATCTTTTACTGAATACTTGACGTCTATAAAGTTAAAAATTTTATCCAACATTGTTATAAAGATAATATATACATATAACTATTTTTCATCTGGTCAGAATAGTATAACGTCAATGAAAAACATGTTTACACAAAGAAAAAAAGAACACTTTAATGAAAATAAATAGATGCTGACAAGAGGGGAAGAAGTTGTCAAAAGCAATCTCAGTTTCCAAATCAATATGAAGTAACCTCCAAGTAAGTAAAATTACATTTGATCAAAGGCAGGAACTGCTCTATTTTCCTCAAGAACTCTCAAGTGGCCAGCACAATGTCACGTATATGGTGGTTATACAACAAACACTTAAGAGAGAGTGGCATCAAAGAGCTCCTGTATTTCCATTTCTGGAACTTGTCACTAGTACAATACACAGATCCTACACTCTCAGATTTTATTATGCTCCATTAAAGGTTAAAGACTTTTTTAGAGTTTTGTTCATTTAATTAAACTATACATAGCTCACCCTCTCTCCAATTTCAGTTTGGTCTCCAAATGGAAGTAGGTCAATATCTGGCTGAAGAGAACAGGCATCTGTGACAGCTTTATACCTTTAGGAGAAATGATTTTGAATTTTTAGAACACTATTAATATGCAGAGTCCCAAGTTCAATATCTTGGAAGCTGAAATATAACATTTATTGAACAATTGTACATATTAGCTTCTAAGCTAAGTTTGTGGATACAAAGATAAATAAATATTGGTTCTCACTCTTACAAAGCTAGTAAATGGAGCACAAAACTGATAAAGAAACATATAATACAAAAATACACTTTGTTAGGTACTCTAGCAGAAGAGGGTACAAAGTGCTCCTAGAATACACAGGAAGAAATGACTGACCATTCTGAGAAGTTAGTGACACCTTTGCAGAGGAAGCAAGGTGCAAATAATATCCAGAAAGAGGAGTCATAATTTGTCAAGAAATGAGGGGAAGGAAGCTTAAAAAACTGCTCGAAGGTGAAAGAGTTTATGGTGCATGTGCAAGACAGCATGAGGCTCACCAAGACTAGAGCATAGGTTGTGGGTGAGTGACTATGCATGCTAATCACGATGCTGAAGTAAGAGCAAACTGAAGACAAAGATGATTGACAGGACTCACACAGATCTAAGGCTGGGAATAGGGATTCAATGGATTGGAAGTCTAAGGGAGCCTAGAGTGTGGAAGCGCTGGGGAAACTATCAATGGTTTTATTTTCTCAGTCACCTAGTCTTAAAATATTCATGTCATTCTTGATTCTTCCCTCTTCTCCCTGCTCATATTTGGCCATTCTTATTCTGAATGGTTTTCTGTCAAACACCTCTTTTCCATGTTTCCAGTCACCTTTCAGTGCAGGCAACAAACACTGATTATTACCCTAACAAACTCCTGTCTCCCTGTACCTATTTCAGATTCATCTCATATATCTGTCAATACACTGCTAGGTTAAACATCTCATTTACCCAATTATTTCTCTTTCTCAAACGTGCTGTACCTCCCCAGAATCCACACAATTACATCCAATTGAATTTTATGGCTCACCATTACCTTGCCTCCGCCTTCCTTTATAATCTAGTTTCCCATTGCCAGTATCCCCAAATCCCTTTCTGTCTGGTCTGTTCCCAGGCCTCAAACAACCCCATGCCAGTTAGATCCCTCTTCCCACCCTATTTCCTCTCCCCATCCCCTTCCTCATGCCTCTTCCATGACCTGATTCTCCTTAACTTTCAAGACCCAGTTTGGGGTCTTAAGACTCATCCCTGTGAAAGTGGCTTAAAGAATGAGTCATACTTTGGATCATTCCAGCGGTATTTAAAAGATGAGTTAGATATGGCAAATTCTGCCTGCTCCTGGACACTAGACTCCTCAGATCCCACAGTCTTCCTCTTCTTTCAAGATGTTAACTTTTCTTCTGCTGCTTACTTGGGTTTTTCCTTCTGCTTACCAATTACCTTACCGCCACCACCCCTCCCCACCTCACACACTCGTGCATACACACTTCACTTTCAGCTGTTTAGTTCTGGTGTACAAATTGTGCTCAGTAAGCACAAAAAATGGGCTGAAACTTCCACTGAGGTTTCTCTTAGAAGAGGGGAATCCAAAGACGGGGCGGTGGGGATGGAAGGGGGGCAGGCAGACAGGGAAGGGGCTCCCAAGGTAAAGGTTCCGGACACCATGGACCAAACACAAAGATTTTATACATTGGAAATTACCTCTGTTTGTTGAAAGGACTTCCAAAGGTAATATTTTCTTCTACTGTTGCATTTAATAGCCAGGGCTTTTGAGCTGCATAAGCCACAGAATACCTGCTCCTACTGGAAAACGGAAAAGAAAAGCAAAATAGCAAAATCATGCAAGGGTGCTATGCTTTAGGTGTATTTTAGTGTGGTTAAATAAAAGTCAATAAAATATCTCAAGCACAGAAATAGAGAACTTCTAAAAGAAAACATTTTAACAACCACCAAACTTATTAATTAACAGTTAAAGATTTCACCTGAATTCAAGCTATTAGAATTTTATCAAAATGTCATACTTTGTGCAAAATGTGGTTTTGCTATGCTAAAGAAGTGATTGAAGGTAGAAATTATAATTGAAGTTTTATATTGTAAAGTGTTATAATTTTTAAAATAATTAAAGATAATAAAAATTCACTTTCTCATAGCCACAGATATTTTATAGTAAAATTAATAAATTTTATAGGTAGATCTTAAAAAATAATGAGAATCGAACTGTAATTATAGTATGTGTTTGTGGCTTAATCATATCAACATATATTAAGGCAATAGGTAATATATATTTCAAAACAAAGAATAATATTTTAAGGAGTCCATTTCAATATTGAAAGACATATGTCTGAAAACTACATATTTCAATACATACTGAAATAGTTTATTTAAAAACAACCCTCTCCCCCTATATTGTGGGCTTTTAAATTCTACCAGCTCTGTATCTTAGACTTTAATTTGCAATAATTAGGAAAATACATGTGAGCTGAAGATAAACAAGATGATGGGACTGGGCAGGGGAAGGGTCACACGTCACACGTCCATAGTTAGTTCATTGACTCTAAGTACTAATAAAGGAATTAAGGTTAAAAGAACGAGATTAAGAAAAAGAGTAGTTAGAAACGTTCAGTGATTATCCTGAAACGTAATGTCTAGCAGTTTAGAAGACGTAATCATACCCAGTATGCTAGTGGTCTTTTAGATAGCCACATGTGCAGCAAAACAGCGGTTCCCAACTTCTGACATGTCTGCGCCCCTCAAGCCCTTTAAGCGTTTTTTGTCTTTTTGAAATACATGAAGTATTTGGTTCTCCATCTCTACCTTATTCACAGATTCCATCACTGTGTAACTCACAACAATATACCGTATTTTGCCGTGTATAATGCACACTGTTTTGCCCAAATTTTTGAGGGAAAAATAAGGATGTGCATTATACATGGGTAGTACTAATTCTGTATCTATATAAATGTTTTTAATTCTTTTATTTACACTCATGTGTTAAAAGTGTAACTCTAGAAAGTAATAATGATATCTATATGCAAAATAATACCTTAGAATATGATAATCGGTTTTTTTCTAAATATAAACAAACAGATAATTGAATTAAAAATTAAAATGAAAGACATTTTTCCTGAAAGTTTGGGCCAAAAACGTGGGTGCATTATACACAGGAGCATATTACACATGGCAAAATACAGTACATGTTTATTTTTGCATTTTTATTTAATTCATTGGGGTGACATTGGTTAATGAAATTATATAGGTTTCAGATGTACAATTTTATAATATATCATCTATATGTTATTCTATCTTCACCACCCAAAGTCTGCCTTCTTCTGTTACCATTTATCCCCCTTTATTCTCTTCTACTTTCCCCGACACCCAAACACAATTTGCTAAGAACAGATTGAGTTTCAGTCAAAGTTGAGACATATGTGACTCACTGAAGGAAAACAGTTGACACAATGGGCCATTTTGTTTGGCAAATTAATTCTTTCAGCAGTTTGCCAATGTTGGGAACCACTGCTACTGGAAGTATTCTAGCACATTTTAATAAATAACTATACATCATCAGAATGTACAAAATGACTAGAAGAAAGAAACTGAGTATCAAGTAAAGTCTGAGGAAGGAAGTCGTTTCTATTAAATGAAGATTAAAATAGAAATAATACCTTCTGGCTGCTTCAAAAGAAGGTTCAGATTCATTTACACTGCAAGTACGGCAAACAATGTACATTAATTATGAAATAGAAATACAGAATTACTGTCTGTACATATCAGGTAAGAGATTACATAAATAGTGGACATATTAAATAGCTACAGCTCCCAAATGGTTTTTGATATTAGCTTGAAAGACAAAAGAGATAAATAGTATTTTAATGTCTAATTGGTTAGAAAATAATTACTTAGTGAGCTTCCAAAAGATAAATAGCACTGTTCTGTTTGACACAAAATATGGATTCATACAGTGACCTGGGTTCTAGTCCCGACTCTGCTCCAACTAGCTGTATAAATTTAGGCAATGTCTCTAGAATAGTGTCCTAGTCTGTATACAGATTTAATATCTCCAAGGCCCCCTTACCTTTGAAATTCAAATTTAATCTATTTAAATTCTTAATTAGCTACCCTAAAGTATGAAAGAAAGATTTAATTTTGGGATTCTGACCTTGAAAGTTTTAGAAACAGCCCGGCCCTTAAAGAACTGGTAAGAAAGATAGACATTCACAAGAGGTCAAACTAAGACCTTTGGGTATAATTAATTACTGATAGATGTGATTTTTGTAAAAAGAAGTGTTTGACTAATTAAATTTAGTTATAGCTATATTAT